CCAAGTTCAGGGTAAGACGCAGTTCTGTTCTGCCCCCGGGGGACAAAACTCTGCCTACATTAAGGGACAGCAGCTGGAGAGCTCCCAGGCCTCTGAGAGCAGCCACATGGCCAAAAGGACAGCTGGACTCTGCCAGGACCCAGTGCTCAGATAAACGCTGCCTCATTCAGGCCTCTGCTACAGTTCATTGTAGAATCTGATCATCTAACCAGCTCCAACAGACTCTCCCATCTGCATGGATATAGAAGACAGATTCTCCATTTCTACAATAGTTCTATTCTTGCACACCACGAGAGCGGTAGAGAGCCAGGATGGGTAAACACTGAAGTGTACCGCTAGAGTAGTACGCCAGCCATAACCCCACCAAGCAGCGGCCACTGTTGCAAGGGCTGGGGTTGGCTTGGCTCTGTTTTCTTCCTTTTTAAGTCGGTACATATTTATTTGGCAGTGTTCCGAGCATGGTTCTGAACTCTTGGGATTCCCAGCGCCGAATACGAGGATTTAACCAGGGGACACTCTCCCTCAGAAGACCTAGTCTGGCGATCCTGTCCTGTAACGTGGAGAAGGATTGACTTTTGTTTTGTTTTTGTTTTTTACATACTGAAAAAAAATGTAAGTCCTGGAGCTGGAGGGATGGCTCAGTGGTTATGAGCCCTGGCTGTTCTTCCAGAGGACCTGGGGTTTGATTTGCATCACCCACCACCATGTGGTATCAGACGTACATACAGGCAAATACCCATACACATAAAATTAAAATGTAAAAAAATGTAAATACCGGGCAAGTAATTCTATTATTATATCTTTTTAACATACACATACCCATATAGTAATAGACAGCAATCCTAATATGAATGGCCAACATTATCCTATAAACTAGAAATGCACCCTATTTAAAATGCATTATCTTCTTAAGAACACTATTGGTATGCTATATTATTTTATCTAATTTATTTGGGGACAGGGTTTTACGTAGCTTGTGTTGGCCTCGACATCACCCCATGTTAGCTGGTCTCTGAAAGAACTCCTAATAAAGTAAATGGGAAAAAACAAAAGAGCGACGAAGTTGGCAGTCCCTCACAGTGTCCTCAGTAGCGTCCTCTCCTCCTGCCCCAAGCCCCGAGTTCTGTGTTCTTCTTTCTTTCATGCAACAGTCATGTTGCATGTCTGTGGAGGCTACAGCACTTGGTTCTGTTGTCTCTGGGTGTCAAGTCAATGGTATTGTGTACCACATTATATATATAATGTATATATATTGACACCTAATGATATATATATATATATATATATATATATATATGCATGCACACACATATATCATTAGGTGTCTTATTGTTGTAGTCCCTTATTTTTTGATACATCTGAATATGTGCGATCTGTTCTTCACTCACTTTTCATAGTTTTCCCTCATAATTATAAGCAAGTAGAGTGTGCTTTGAGGACATTATTGAATGTGTCCTGGACCACATGTGACTCCTTCTTAAGCTTTTCTCAAGTGAGGCTTAGGCATGATTCTAGAAGTGAAACTTTTGTGTCAATCAATGCCATAATATTAATCGCCAATATTTTTTTTTTTGACAGGGTCTCAATATGTAGCCCTGGCTGGCCTAGAACTCTGTGACCTCAAGCTCACGGAGAATCACCTGCCTCTGCTTCTCCGGTGCTGGGGTTGAAGGTGTGCGCCACCATGATTGGCTGCCGATAAACACTCTTATCAGCAGTGAGTTCCTGACTTTTATTCCTCACTCACATCCGGCTCCATCAAAGCCTTGAGTTTTCCCCAGTCGGATGGGTATAAAATGGCACTGTGGTTGGTGATGTGACTCAGTAGTGGTGGGATCGCTCACCATGCTCAGGGCCAGGGGTTCAATGCCCAGCACCGTTGAAAAATACTATGACACGTCTACTGGTGGTAATTTGCATTTCCTTTCTTGCAACTCAGTGTGTGTGTGTGTGTGTGTGTGTGTTGTGATTAATATTTTCTTTCTTATTTTTTTTATTTTTTTTGTTTTTGAGACAGGGTTTCTCTTGTGTAACCCTAGCTATCTTGGAACTCACTCTTTAGACCAGGCTGACCTCAAACTCACAGAGATCTGCCTGCCTCTGTGTGGTGGTATTGTGTTCCCCAAAATATTGTACACCCTAATAAATTTATCTGGGGTCAGAGACAGAACAGCCACTAGATACGAAGGCTAGAAAATGGTGGCACTCACACCTTTAATCCTAGCACTCTAGAGGTAGAAATCCCTCTGGATCTCTGTGAGTTCAAGGCCACATTGGAAACAGCCAGGCATGGTGACTCACGCCTTTAATCCCAGAAAGCAAGCCTTTAATCCCAGGGAGTGGTGGTAGAAAGCAGAAAGGTATATAAGGTGTGAGGACCAGAAACTAGAAGCTTTTAGCTGGTTAAGCTTCAGGCTTTCGAGCAGCACAGTTCAGCTGAGAGCCATTCTAGATGAGGACTCAGAGGCTTCCAGTCTGAGGAAACAAGACCAGCTGAGAAGTTGGCCAGGTGAGGTTAGCTGTGGCTTGTTCTGTCTCTCTGATCTTCCAGTTCATCCCAATACCTGGCTCACAGGTTTGATTTTATTAATAAAGACCTGTTAAGATTCCTGCTACACCTCTGCCTCCCAAGTGCTGAGATTAAAGGTGTGCACCACCACCTGGCCATGATTCATATTTTCTATTAATGGTTTCTGCTTTTAATGGATATTTTAAGTTTCTTTATGTGTAATTGATATATTATAATTCTTGATTTTTTTATTCTAAATCTTTGCTAATTTATGTGTAACAAGTATCTGATTTCTTTGCCGCTTTTGTTTTCTGCTTTTGTTTTTGCAATCTGTAAGTTCTTAATATAGTAAACTGGTTCCCTATTTGGGGAGATTCTGTCTTAACTGTTTAAAAATATTTTTACATGTGTGTTTTATCTGCATGTATGTCTGTTCACCCCTTGCATGCCTGGTGCCCTCAGAAGCCAGAAGAGAGTGTTGGATCCCCTGGAACTGGAATTACAGACAGTTGTACATCACTGTGTGTGCTGGGAACCAAACCCAGGTCCTCTGAAAGAGCAGCCAGTGCTCTTAATGTGGAGCTGTGTCTCTACCCCCTTAACTGTTATTTGAACTTGCATTTGTTTTGATCACTAATAAGGCTGAAGGTTGATTTTCATGGTCTATTGGTCATTTATATTTATTTTTATGAGATTTTCAAAAATTTAACGTATGTCTCCACATTACTGATAGTAACCTTCTGTCATATCATTAGTTTTAAGAGTTTACTTAAGTTTCTCCAAAGTTTGTGTTTATATTTAGACCTTTCATTATTTTCTTATTTTGATTTTTAAAAAGCATTTGAAGATTGACCCAGGTGGAGTTGATTTATTGTAGAAGAGATGACATTAATCAACTATTTCTTGTGTGGCACTGATTTATGATTATTATTATACACTAAAATGTTGTTTATCTGGGTGTCTCTGACCTTTATTCTTTGCCACATCAAATCTAATTAGTTTGGCAATGCTTGCCCCCATCCCTATTCTATTATTATCTTCTTAGCTACTTTACTATTCAGGAAGACCATTTGGTTGAACTTTCATGGACCGTATCAGGAAAGGCCTTCTTTTTTGTTATCAAACATTCCATTTGGTTCCTAGAGCACTGTAATACAAATCAAGCTTCCAGATTCTCAGTGTTGAAAAGCAGGGTCACTTATGGTCACATTTGTTCATGGTCAGGAGGAACAGCCAATGCTCCCAGATCAGAGTGTGAATGGTAGTTGATTCAATATCTGTGCAGAGTGAGTGCGGTGTTTGGCATGATGGACTCTCCTTTACCCTCTCAGCCAGGGGCTTGCCATGGTGCCCCGACTGGGCTTCAAGCCCTGCCCTCAGCTGACTATAGACAGGCCTTCAGCCATGGGCTCCAAAGCCAGCTGAGTGCTCATGGGAGCCTCCAGGGGCTGGTTCTGACATCTCTCTCTGCCAAACTGTGTTCTAAACCCACAAAGCATGTTGAAACAATCATCCATCTGTCTGGTGAATGCTAAGAAACACTAGCTTCCACCCACAATGACATTTCTTTTCTTTCTTTCTCTCTCTTTCTTTCTTCTTTCTTTCTTTCTTTCTTTCTTTCTTTCTTTCTTTCTTTCTTTCTTTCTTTCTTTCTTTCTTTCTTTCTTTCTTTCTTTCTTTCTTTCTTTCT